AGAAGACAAAGAATGGAAATAATAATAATAATGTAGAAATTTAAAAAAAGAAGATAAAATAACAATGAAATTGGAATACAAAAAGGCAATAAGAGTAAAACTAAAAACGGACAAGCAAAATAAATGGAAATAAAAATATGACACTGGACAGCGCCTTTCTTTGAATATACATGTATACGTAAAAAGGTTATCGAGTTCAAAAAGTAATTCACTAGGTAGAAATAAAAGAGGAAGGCTGAAAACATGAAGTCTGGGACGCATCAAGAGGCAGGAAGAAGTAGGTGGAAGAAAAATATCTGCTTTGGTTGAGAAAAAAATGAGGGTTTGGAGAAAGATGGAATAGGTTGATTTTGGGTGGGGGATGGGATAGGGGAGTGAGGGGGGGGATTTTAGACGGAGCATTAAGTCTTGAGAGCTGACTCCGAGCTCCTCTTGTTTAAAACTTGAGAGAGTACGCAAAAGTGTTTGGGGGTGGTGGGTGGTGGGATGGATTATCAAACACGGGAGGATTTTATTCGAAGCAACTTTGATTAGATCTACTTTCTGTCTAAGATTTACTATCATAGTGTTTGCAAAAAAAAGTGTTATAATTCTAGTTAAGACTTGCCATTTATTCTCAATACTGTAGTCATATTATGGGATGCCTTAAAAGAAGGACCAGGGCAAAGACTCAGTCGTCTTTTCAGAGATTTCTGCAGAATTTCAAGCAATTAAAACTTCAAATACGGGTCGTCTAAACGGTCAATTTGAAGAAAATCAATTAGCATTTTCGAGAAAAATGAAATTATAGAAACCTCAACAAAAATTGAGGATGATGCAAAACTTTACATCTTGAAAGCGTTCAGCTGCACGGGCGTGTTCGATCTGTTCTGGTTTCAGGACGAGAAGGGTAAAACCACAACTGTCATATCAGATGTATATCTGCTTATGATGAGAAAGTTTTGGGAAAGTTTTGGGCAAGAATAGGAGTTACGCTGTTGAGCATGCTTAGTTCCAGCGTGGTAGGGCTACACTCCAAACAACCAGAGTGCCCCCTGCATTGTTGCAAGAAAGGAGTGGTGAAAATGATGTAGGTTTAAAACGCCCCTATCAGTACTGTTCGGTTATTTAAGAGGCGGGACCTGCGAGTTTGACGTCCCTCTCCAAAAGGACTGAGCCAAGTGGGAAATTCGTGTAAAGTGCCTCACGATTACAAGTCTGGTGGCCTGACCACTAGGATACGGACGCCGCCAAAGGTGTGGGCAATGCCTTGTAAATCAAAATCTTACAGTTGAATGGTCACCGCATTTGTCTGACTTTAACACCATCGGCTATTTCCTGTGAGTTCTTTGTCATTTCGTTATGTAAACTTGAAAGCAATAAATGACTGTTTTATGTGATGTGGGCCTTGAAGACTGAATAAGCGTACATTTACAATTAGTGACTAAGTCTTGAGAAACATCCCGCATGCAATCGAATAATTGGAACTCAATGTCAGACAGGACGCCCAAATAGATAGATAGATGGCCAAAATATTACTTTTAAGGGCTTAAAACTTGATCCACTTACCACACCAGCATATACGGCCGTCCTTGTTGACGTCAGCCCTATGCACGATGCTGTGAGCCCGGAGTACGTGGTTGGGTGTGCCCTCTAGAGCTCGCGCGACGTGGTATCGGAAGGACTCAATCTCTGTCTGGCCAGCGATACAGCCGTCCTGGTCCTGGTCAAGGTTAGCTGTGTCCAGAATCAAGTGGTCACGGGCCGGACTCCGGGGAGGGAGTTTGGTGGTGGGAACAACTGATCCTGTAGGAGACGAGAAGGGTGGGAAGAGTTAATGATGATATTTTAGTGATCAAAGGAGGGGGCGTAAGTCAGACAGAGAGAGAGAGAGAGAGAGAGAGAGAGAGAGAGAGAGAGAGAGAGGGAGAGAGAGAGACAAAGAGAGAGAAAGAGAGAGAGAGGGGGGAGAGACAGAG